TGACGAATCCTCACCCGAACCAATCAATCCCTTCAAGAAATCCGGCCTCAATCCATCAGGCCCTGGTCCCGAACCAACTGGAAAAGACCGAAGGGCCCTCAATAAGGTGGGGCCCGGGATTTCGGGCGTTGGTGGCAACGCACTCGACTCGGAGATAGTCGCAGGAGCTGGCGGAAACTTAGCCATCAACTTAGCACGGACTTCCGGGGTATCTCGGGCCAAGCCAGGTGAGGTCAAACGCTTCAAGGCTTGTCCCGGACGCCCCAAAGCAACTAGCCGACCAGCATCAGCACAAGTAGCATCCCTCGACGGGGTTTTTGCGCCGATCAGGGGCCGACATTCAACGGCCACGATGGCCTCATCCCACAAACTGCGACGTTCGCCCAACCGCCATCGTAACAAAAGCGACCTGGTGAAGGAGAGGGCTTGACCACGTCGCTGACCACGGCGATTCTGTCGCAAGACTGTCTTCGGAAACATAAGCAACTCCAACCAAGCACAACGGGTCTGCTTCTTCGCGTCGTTGTCCGACCCATTAGCCGCCCCACCCAAATGCGTAGGGAGAGGGTCCCAAGCCGTCATCTCGGCAAAGCAATTGACCCGAGCCAACAACTTACCGTATTCTTCGCGCAGCAAAGGCCACAGTTCGGCCGGCAGATGCTCCTTAGTGTAGATAGGCGAAGTGAAAATATCATGCAGCGATGGCAAATCTTCAATGGATACCTCCGGTGGCGCAATCAATCCAAGCCCTCGTTGATGCAGACGCTCTTGGGGCCAGCAACGAGGGTGAACCATTGAGGCTATGCGACAACTGATGCTCTTTCCACATACACGACAACAGCGCAACTTCAACGATTCCAACCACGCATCATCTCGATCCGCATTCACAGTAGATTCCGCGCCCTCAAGCTCCACAATTGTCATGTCAACATCGGCTGTGTGGCTGACGACGGCATTATCCCGCGTGCGACCGGACGAGAGGGGAACATCCGACGGGAAAGGAGGCAATATATAGATAGCACTCAACAATTCCAGCCTCCAAGTCATCCGCATTTGATGAGTAAGAAGAAATCCTAGCAGGAGACTGAAAATCCGACATGCAGGACGTGGAAGATGCCAATTCCGGCTCCAAAGAGACAAACCTGTGGCGAGACAAAGGCAACCGCATAAATTGTACTGGGAACAGTGCCATTTCAACAGTTCAAGAAAATAACACGCCTTTATCAGACTTCTAGCATGAATGGGACCGAGACATGAACGGCACACCTGGGAAGCCCGAACACTGAGGTTGAGCCACACCCGAATCCCAGAAAGTAACAAGCGAAGCAGGAAATCCTCCATGCAATTCCCTGGTTGGAGGCACGAACCCCAACTACCATTGCCTAAAGACTGGCCCAACGAAGCGCCCCAAGCGACGGCGGCACATGACCGAATGTGGTGAAGGTAAAACAGCGATGCCGTGAGAATCCAGAACTGTCGGAAATTAGTACGTCTATGGTGCGACTGTGACGATTGTGAAGACGTGAGCCAAAGGCATTCCCATCTCTGAGCCTCGCATAACAGCCCTCCCAAGAGAATCCCCAAGATGAAAAAGGAGGTCCACATGCTACACCTCTTCCTTTGAAAAGGAACAGATCTACTGGCATTACATTCTGTCAATGTCCATCTCCATAACTTGTCAATCCCCAGCAAAGCCAATCCCACTAAACCACAAGCAAGACCCACGAGCCCCAGCGGTGGGGGGGGGTCGCACCCTTCCATGCAGCCGTTCAGCAGCGCGGGCGGCCCCGCTGCTAGCGCCGGCGGCTCATGGCTCACATAGGCCCTCGTAGAAAAGATAGGCTTCATATTATCATTATTTGTCGGCGAACGGCTATTCATTTATTTATTTTAATTTTGAATACTTCATATTCGGCGAATTATTTTCGATTCTTTGTGATCTTGTATATTTTCGTTTGGGCGTTGAATCTTATTGGGAATTGGGGTGACGCTCGGTTATTTAATATATATCGTCATACCTCGGCTCTTTATATCTTTTCTTGAGGATATCATTAATATTATTTCATCTACGAAAAAATATCAATGATATTTGATTAATTCGGACGAATATAGATTTGATTTTTAATCTATATCATACGAATCGAATCTTAATATATTATTTTGCAACCCCGACTGATAAGGATACTTCTATAAACATTGGAAAGATCGGAAGAATTGCGAACCGTGCAAATTATATGGAGGATAATCGGAGATATATGGGACGAAGGTGAAAATATCTCGCCCAAGGGATATATATATGTATCCAGATAAATGAAAGGGAATCTATAACCGCAAAAATCAAAGTTCCCGAGATCGTATTTCTGTGGTCTTCGGTTTATTTTGGCCTTCTGAAGAATGGAATCAAAATCAATTGGTGATTGCGAGATGGGCGCGCGTGGATTCTTGAAGAGTATATGCCAGGAATATGATCGAATTACGAATTCTCCTTTGGATATAACAAAACAAGATTTGAAAATTCGATTTTCGATTGATATTCAGAGGGGACTCTCTCACATCTTGCATAAATGTCGCGCTGCACAGGCGTCTATGGATGTGGCCCAAGGGGCTATTGGTCGTTTCCCACAGGAGAATATGTTGTGAGATTTGTGTTTCATTCCTTGAGCAACTTCGCGATATTTGATACTCCAGATTCGATCCCCCGCGCAGGTGGTACAAGGGAATGATCGTAGCGCCGCGGCGAGAACTCATTCGAGATATTCTCGAGTTGTTGACTTAGACGCCAAGGTGACGATTCGTAATGTTCTGGGATGCATAAGTCCTCCCTTTATATAAAGTTTCGTCCGGCGTGTGTGTGCGTGTTGGTTGTGAATTTCATTTTCTCGAGATTCCTGGTGAATTGGGGGTGGTGGCGGCTTTTTCAATGCACGATTCTCTGGACGGCATTTAATTCGTTTCTGGGAATATTAGATTCTCGCACGGAAATTCTAATCTTTGCATTCGTAATGAATTGGTGCTTTTGGGAGCACAAATCTCTTATACCGAAGATATTTCGTTAGACCACGACCCCACTTTGATACTAAGACCCTTAATTTCGATGTAACGCTTTTGGGAACATAAATTCCTCGGACAACCTCGGAAATATAAATCTTCTCAATTCGGGGTGGTGGTGGGCGTTTGAATGCATGGAAGAGAATTTGAGGACTCGTGTGGATGGTATTTTGTGGTCATCCGAGACGCTGGCTAATTCTTTTGGGATGTGGTCGAGCATCAAGTCTCTCTCCGTCCATTGCGAGGTTACAGCAGTCTCTCTTCATTATTTTCGTCTCTATGGAGGACTCATATTTAATTGGTATTTTTGGGAGCATACGTCTCTTGCGCCGTCTCAATTGGGACGACAATTGGAATTTTTGGAGCAGAAGCTTCTTGCTTCGGCGAGATACCATCTTACAATATCTCATTCGGATTGGATATTCTATATATTTCACCTAGAATTTCAAATTCTCCAAGATTCCTCGACATGTTAAAAACCCACCACCACCCCCAATTATGAGAATCCGATTAATTTAGACCAATTCAGATCGATAATATAATATAAAATCCCTCAATTTCATTATCAGATCTCCTTTTAATATTTCGGCCCCCCCCCATTCGAGTGGTCGAGGAGCCAGCCGTGATTATAAAGGCTTATGTAAGATATAAACGTCGGTACAGATGCCACTTGCATCGTAACTTGAATAGAATCCAGCAAATCTACGTGCCTCTACAACGCCGGTCCCAAGATATTGTATAATAATATACAACGCAAAATATTGGTTTCAAATCTATCATCTTTGAAATATTGGGAAGTTATGATATTGAAATAGTATCTTTCCTTAATAATTTATATCATGATTACGATGGCGTGTAATATCGTCGACCGAATAATTATCAGATTCAGATTATTTTCTTATTATAATGATATATCGGCTAAATCCTCATGAAGTACCGTAAAGCACCGGCGCGTCCAGAAACGATATCTGAATTATATCTAATTTTGATTTTCTAAGTAGGATCTTCTTTAATATCTCAAATCATCGATATTCGTATTATTAAGTATATCCTATCGCAAGTCCCATCTAACTAACGACGAATTCAGATGATAGATGTAATCGTCTCCATGGCGAATGATTAGTCCAATTCGTATTCGGGTGATGTAGACCTTATTTGTTTTTGTTATTCCTGGTGGTGATGGGTTTTTTGCAAGGGTAGGATATTTCGAATCCGTGTGTCTGATGTTGAGATCCATCGTCGTAGATTCAATCGAAAGTATAAGTCTCGCAGATCTATTCTTATTCAATGAGTGGTTTTGGGCGTACATGCCGCTCGCGCTAGAATATCTCAAGATCCTCCCATACAGAACAGTAAATAACAAGCGCGTGATATGAACATAATTTTACAAGAATCTGTGATCCGGTAGCGTGCATGAAAAAACGCCCACTGCCAGCGCCCATTCCTAGCGGGTCTCGACTTCTAAAAGAATTGAATAATTGAGCTTACGTGTTCGAGGGATATATGAGGGGAGATCTTTTCGAGATTTTCGGAAGCATAAGCCTTCCATTCATGTAGAAGGTATGTCGAGACTAATTAACTTCTTGTTTTCAGATAACGGTTAGCCTAAACCCTAAACCCCAAACCCCAAACCCTAAACCCTAAACCCTACACCCCAAACCCTAAGGCATTTGGAGAGCTCTGTCTAAGGCCAATGCTCTGCCCTTTTCCCCCGGTCGCGCTCTGACCTCTGAGTAAGACTGACGGGCAACGTGCAGCTTGGGATTTTGAAGGCGTTGGGGTTTAGGGTTTAGGGTTTAGGGTTTAGGGTTTAGGGTTTAGGGTTTAGGGTTTAGGGTTTAGGGTTTAGGGTTTAGGGTTTAGGGTTTAGGGTTTAGGGTTTAGGGTTTATTTGAATAATGCAGTTGCTTTGGAGACCCTCTGAAACCAGATGCTTAAGCCTGCACCGCTCACTATCGGACCTGACGCTCATTGGAGACGTGGGGCCTTGCACGCGGACCCGGTAAGGGTCTGGTGAGCGACTAGCAGCATCCAATCTTGGAAGCTAAACAACTTGAACCTGACGCATTGTGCACTCAACAGCATCAGAAGCTCTTGAACCATATTGCTGTCCTTACATGTTTTTCTTCACTGTTCTCCCTTTCGCCCTAGGTAGGGGCTGAAGTGTGGAGACTAGCGCGTGAGAAGAAGGGTTTAGGGTTCACAAGGGAGCTACAGTCTGTACGACATGACTTCTATAACCTTCTTCTGCTGGTAAGCTACTTTCAGTTCCGAATCAAACCCCCAGTTGTTGGCAAACAAACCCTGCGCTACCCGAGAGTAACCTAGTAAGAAAAAGTGTACCCTTTTTGGTTTTAAGTGGCTGATAAGGGAGCCCAGCCCAAACAAAAGAGAATAAGGGCCTACCCTGGGTCCGAGATCATATTGGCAACGTGCCTTCCTTGCCTGAGACCGGCACAAGCTGACCAAGCAGTTCGAAGGCAGGTCAAAGCAACAACCTGATCAAGACAATGTCTGACCACAAATCTCAATATAATTCGCTATGCGCACCTAAGTTCTTTGCTATGAAAAAATTAGGTATTGACATCGTAGACGGGAACAACTACGTGGATTTAGTTCACCGGCAGCGTGTGGCACGCATCTCCTCACCACGCAAAGGGTCTTGTGCGCTTGCTACACAGCTCCCCGATGATAACGCCCCCCCCCCCCCCCCCCCCCCCCACTCCTCCCATTTTCTTCTTCGGCTTCCTCAGGCTCGGGTAGATATGTACCAGAGCCTGAGGGAACTATACTGGAGAAACTGCACCAGCCGGCACAGAGCATTACCTATGGCAAGTGGCTTTAAAGTGCCGGGGGGCATCCCCGAGTCTTATCCTTCAAGGGCCCCAACAGCCAAAACTCGGTGCTTTTTTTCACTAAGATTGAGAGTCCATGGAGGCTTCATATGGTGCGCAGGGCTCAGTTCCTGTTCTGGTGCTCGTCTGCTGTTTCGCCTCTGACTCCAACCTCTCGTCTTGCCGCACACATGTCCATAGCAGCAGGACGATGGCACAGAGCACCAAGCACCCGCCAATGACATGGCACATCGCTTGGAAGTTCGCGTACCGACAAACAAAACCGCCTGCATAAGGCCCGAAGATGCAGGCCACTTGGTCTGCTGTGTTGGGCAGAATGAGCACCTTCCCCGTGCCGTGGTACTTCTCCTGGCTCCGATCCGCCAACATGGCCGGTGTATTTCCATTCAGAATGCCGGCAGCGGCGCTGGAGCCAATCAGTGTAAGAGCAAGAAAGATGTAGTCGGAGCCAAAGCACGCCAGCGCGCTACTACCACCAAGGAGGAGGGCTGACATCTGCAATCTCTGACCTGCAACCACGGATCGAAGCACGGGAACAAGCTTGACACAGACGATAGCCGGAATCGTAGCCATCAGCCATGTAAGGTTCTGCTTCACATGATCATATCCCAGGCTCGTCATGTACTCGAAAGTTGTCGCAGTCAATGCACTCTGCAACGTTAAACTTAGACAAAGGGCGACAGTTGGCAGTCCGATTTTGGGGTCCAGGACCAGCTCCAGCATGTCCACCTTAGGAACTGGTTCAGTATGTTCCTGAATTGGCTTCTGGAGCTGCGACAGGTCTGACAGTCGTACGCGAAGCGTCAGGCACATACACATCTGCACGCCAGCGAGGAGGAGAAAAATGAAACGTGAGTCATCAACAAACAAACCACCAAGCTGGGGCCCGGTAATCAACCCAGCGTAAAGACCCGACATTGCCAACGACATGGCCCTCATGCGGGCGGCCGCATCGTTTGCATGTACCTACACTGAACTTGGTACCCTTGCAAAAAAAACGTTGCGGCTGTTCCTTAGGGGTTTTATGGGGTTTTAGTAGAAGAAACGGTTTCCAAGTGCCCCTAAGGTACTTGGTTGAGAAGTGCAAAGCCTCCCCAGAGAACTCCTGCAGTAGAGCATCCGCTGAGACAGCGCATTGCCAGCCACAAGCCGTAGTCCTTCTCCAGGGCAAAGCCCAGACTGCACAGCACGGCGCACAGCATCCCAAGCTGCATGGACTTCGCTTCGTGTCCATCGATGAACTTGCCACCGAAGGGCACCAGTAGGCAAGCCACGAGATTCCTGGAATTTTGGAGCACCGCAATTAGCTCGTAGTTCGGTGTTACCGTGGGTGCCATAGGATAAACGGCGGATATCATAAAGTGGTCCAAGAAGGCCGCCATGCTCACCAGCATCTCGGTGCTGGCGAACTTTAACGCCAGCAGGAAACACAAGAGTAAAATGCCCGCCGCAATGCGGAGGATGTTTTGGATGTGCCACTCTGTCGTCAGTGTGGGGATTGTGGGGAACATTTCATCGCTCCCGCCTGGCACGCTTCCATTGAATTTAACGGCGCGTGTCTGAAGGAGCTCCACGAGAGTTTTGCCGTCAGCCGGGGCACCACTGTCGCACACGACGTCCACGCGCTTTGAAGCGCCGGCCATCAGGCTTGTCGCAACACTGGCATCACTATCGTCGCTATCATCACTCATCTGGCATGGAGCAGCAGCTGTGGAGACAGCGACAAACAAGCACCCCAGCATCAGGCCATGACGAAACGCCATGGCGAGGAGTCGATCTCAAATCATCAAGACATATGTGCCCATCGCGACGCTTATAGCCACGAGATGTGGGCACTGGAGCCATGGGTGGGAGCGCGACATGCCGAATGCACACACCCTCTGCAGACCATGCGATACTGTACTTTCCCTGCAACATCGCTTCGGACGAACTGGTCGGTGCCCACAAACCCTAAACCCTAAACCCTAAACCCTAAACCCTAAACCCTAAACCCTAAACCCTAAACCCTAAACCCTAAACCCTAAACCCTAAACCCTAAACCCTAAACCCTAAACCCCCCCCCCCCCGCCTGAAGCGATCGGAGCTCCATCGACCGGTCTCTTCGCGACTGGGGTGGACGAACCTTGGACGTCGACGAGTTCATCACGCTAGGCCACGATGCGACGAGGCTTGCTGGGAGGCACCTTGATGTATGCTAAAATACGGGCCTTAAGGGTTAGAATAGGGTTGTTATTGCAGTATACTTAAAAAGGGAACATACGGAATAACATTGGTAACTATTGCGACCCCTATACTGCGCGGCTTATTACCTGCCTTCGCGTTCCCGAGCCGAGTATTTAACGGAGCTCGACACCTCAACCTCGCATAACCGCGCGTGCTCTACAGTGACGGCACCCAGCGTTCATCATCTTTGCGTTTTTGTCGCGTAACTAGCAAAAATGATGGGTGAGGACAAAAAGCTGAATCCTGAAGTGAACTCTCTGCGGCATACAGGCGCAGTGGGCGGAAGACGTGGGGTTCAGGGTTCAAGGTTCAGTTTCAGGGTCAGGGTTTAGGGTTTAGGGTTTAGGGTTTAGGGTTTAGGGTTTAGGGTTTAGGGTTTAGGGTTTAGGGTTTAGGGTTTAGGGTTTAGGGTTTAGGGTTTAGGGTTTGGGGTTTAGGGTTTAGGGTTTAGAGTTTCCGGTTTCGAAGAACGCCTGGAGCAAGGATTCGAGATTGTGAATTTGTTTGCCTTCCGCCTTGAAGCGCTGCCTGAGAGGCCAGGAGCACAAAGGAAAGATCTGCTTGTCTTTGTTGATCGGAAGATGCCCTTTTCTTGCTCCACCCCTCGCAGCTGCTTTCTGCAACTGTTGCAGGACCGAGCTATAGAAAAAGCCTAATTACGATGCAATGAGTAAGCCCTAAGCCCTAATTACAGTAAGCCCTAAACCCTAAAACAAACAAACTGAAAAACAAATCGAGCACCACAAAAGGTCACGGCAGTACACACTGATCCGGCGAGCACCGCAAACATACGTTCAACATGCAGCCAACGCCCTCCAAAACCGGATGCCTAAATCAAAGCCCTCAAACGCCCAAAGCAAGAGAGGGGCCAAATTGGGGTCGAAAGCCTCTTCCACACCTGTTTTTGTGTCGTAAGCTCCCGACGTTGACTGCACCGGACCTGGCAGGAAAAGCCATCAAACGGTTCCTGGCAACGGGTTTCCAGGATTTTTGGTCTAAGGGTTTTGTGGGCCTGTATAAGGCTCCTAATATTTCAGGGTTCAAGCAAACACCCAAGAGTATATGTGTAAGGGTTTAGGGAAGTGGCTGGAAGAACACTTGAACGCGACTTCGGGGCAGCGTCAAAAACATCTCCTTATGCAACACAAGGTTATCTTGCATCATGTGCTGTTGTTACACTGAAAGGCTCCAAGAGACCAATCGCCGGCTTTTCTTCCTCAACTCGCTCTGATCTCCTCAGGATGTACTGATGGACATTGTTGTTCAATGTCCAAAATAGAGGGCAGCCCCTCACTGACTTCTGACACTGATAGCGATGGTGACCTGAGGTCATCTGCGAAAAAGAGCATTCTATCCATGAGACAGATGGCCGGGTCAAGCTATACTGTTACCCGGACTGCACGGGAAAGCTGGCACCCAAAAAAACAGGCAGCAGTAAGCATTTAGGCGAAAGTGTCCTGAATCTGCGTGAACATGGCCTCAACGTTTGGGGTCCAGCGTATGCTTTTTCCAACCAACCTCAATATCAGTAAAACTGCCAGTAACCAGTTTCCACACTGTGGGAGTCCGGGTACCTTATAGCGGCCGGCATTGGATATTCTTTGGTGAAAGTCCTGTTTCAGTGCTAGCTATTATGTTCAGGAATTAGGCGCCCCAGAGGCTTCATGTGGTGTGCACGGCTCAGTCCCTGATGTAGTGCCCGTCTGCTGTTCCGCTTCGGACTCTAACATTTTATCTTGCCGTGCACATGCAAACAGCAACAGGACGACTGCAGAGAGCAGCAAGCACCCTCCAAAGATATGGCACATCGTTTGGAAGCTCGCATACCGGCAAATAAACCCCCCTGCATAGGGCCCCACGATAAAGGCCACCTGGTCTGCTGTGAAGGACAAAATAAGCACCTTTCCCGTGCCGTGGTATTTCTCTTGGCTTCGATCAGCCAACATGGCTGGTGTATTTCCATTCAGAATGCCGGCAGCGACACTGGAGCCAATCAGCACAAGAGCAAGGAAGATGTAGTTGGAGCCGAAGCACGCCAGTGCACCACCAGCAGCCACGACAAGTGCGGAAATTTGCAACGTTTGACCTGCTAGCACAGATCGAAGCATGGGCACAAGGCTCACACAGACGATAGCCGGAGTCGTAGCCATCAGCCATGTCAGGTTCTGCTTCACATGATCATATCCCAGGCTCGTCATGTACTCGAAAGTTGTGGCAGTCAATGCGCTCTGCAACGTCAAACTTACACAAAGGGCAACACTTGGCAGTCCGATGTTGGGGTCCAGGACCAGCTCCAGCAGGCTCACTTTAGCCACTGGTTCAGTCTGTTTCTTCGTTGGCTTCTGGAGCTGCGACAGGTCTGGCAGTCGTAAGCGAAGCGTCAGGCACATACACATCTGCACGCCAGCGAGGAGGAGAAAAATGAAACGTGAGTCATCAACAAACAAACCACCAAGCTGGGGCCCGGTAATCAACCCAGCGTAAAGACCCGACATTGCCAACGACATGGCCCTCATGCGGGCGGCCGCATCGTTTGCATGTACCTACACTGAACTTGGTACCCTTGCAAAAAAAAGTTGCGGCTGTTCCTTAGGGGTTTTATGGGGTTTTAGTAGAAGAAACGATGTCCAAGTGCCCCTAAGGTACTTGGTTGAGAAGTGCAAAGCCTCCCCAGAGAACTCCTGCGGTGGAGCATCCGCTGAGACAGCGCATTGCCAGCCACAAGCCGTAGTCCTTCTCCAGGGCAAAGCCCAGACTGCACAGCACGGCGCACAGCATCCCAAGCTGCATGGACTTCGCTTCGTGTCCATCGATGAACTTGCCACCGAAGGGCACCAGCAGGCAAGCCACGAGATTCCTGGAATTTTGGAGCACCGCAATTAGCTCGTAGTTCGGTGTTACCGTGGGTGCCATAGGATAAACGGCCGATATCATAAAGTGGTCCAAGAAGGCCGCCATGCTCACCAGCATCTCGGTGCTGGCGAACTTTAACGCCAGCAGGAAACACAAGAGTAAGATGCCTCCCAAAAGGCGAAAGACTTTTTGGGTCTGAGGCGACTGCGTCGTCAGTATGGGGAATGTCGGGTACATGTCAACCAAAACCCCGCTTGGAGCACTGTCATTGTGTCTGCTTGCGCGTGTCTGTAGGAGCTCCACTGCATGTCTGCCGTCAGCTAGTTCGCCACTGTCGCACACCGAGACGTCCGCACGCTTTGAAGCGAGAGCCGTCAGGCTTGCCGCAACACTGGCGTCGCTCATCCGGCAGGGAGCAGCAGCTGTGGAGACAGCGACGAACAAACACCCCAGCATGAGCCCATGACGAAGCGCCATGGCGAGGAGTCAGCGAGGAGTCGATCTCAAATCATCAAGACATATGTGCCCGTCGCGATCTTTTATAGCTACGACATGTGGGCCCTGGAGCCATAGATCGGAGTGCGACATGCTGAATGCACACACGCTCTGTGCACCATGCGACACCCCCTCGACATCGGGTTTAGGGTTGCAAACCACCCGCCTGAAGCGAGGGGAGCTCCATCGACCAGCTCATCGCAACTGCAGGGGCAAACCGTGCTTGTTGATGAGTTGTTCATGTTGTTCATCGCGCCCGGCCTAAACCCTAAACCCTAAACCCTAAACCCTAAGCCCTAAGCCCTAAGCCCTAAGCCCTAAGCCCTAAGCCCTAAGCCCTAAACCCTAAACCCTAAACCCTCAGCCCTAAGCCCTAAGCCCTAAGCCCTAAACCCTAAACCCTGACACCACGATGCGGCAAGGTTTGCTGGTAGGCACCCAGGCTTGTTGCATCCCTGCATCTTGTCGAGTAGGGTTTAGGGTCTAGGGGTTTAGGGGTGTAGGGGTTTAGGTGTCTAGGGGTTTAGGGGTCTAGGGGTTTAGGGGTTTAGGGGTCTAGGAGTCCAGGGGTCTAGGGGGTTCAGGGGTTTAGGGGTTTAGGGTTTCTCGGGTAGCTGGGAAACTGGGTGGCGACAAAAAGCTGAAGTGAAGTGTGCCAAGTCTCCGCGCTAGACAGTCGGCTGAAGACGTTGACTCTCCTCTTGGAGTTGCAGAATCCAGGCGAAACCGAGAGTTCTCCATTTCTGGGTTTTCTGTTTTTCCGGGTTACTTGGAGGTCCATGGTACTTATTGACCAATTGCAACTGTACTTATAACCCATTTGTGAGCCCCTTCAGTTCCCTAATGGCCCTAATATGGTTTTAGGTACAGTTTATGACTGGCTTATGAGTACCATGAACCTCCAGGTAGCACCCCTGCACCAGCCCCCGAAGCCCTAGAAGTCAAAAACCCGCCTTCGTGGCGGAAACCCTAAACCCTAAACCCTAAACCCTAAACCCTAAACCCTAAACCCTAAACCCTAAACCCTAAACCCTAAAATCGCGAAGGCGTAGCATGCCCAAGTAACGCTTCAGCTTGTATTTAGGGTGTTTTGACGTTTCCTTGGCTGTGGCCATGAAATCTGCGCACGTAGGTGGAGGCGCCAATTGTTACACTAGCAAGGATTTCCGGCTTCGAGGAACACCCTAAACCCGAAACTTTAAACCCTAAACCCTAAGCCCTAAAACCACTAGGCCTTGGAGATTGTGAGTTTTTGGCCCACTCCAAGCCAAAAATCCTCCTCCTGAACCAAAATGCCTCTAAACCGCAAAAGCCTTCAGGGTTTAGGGTTTAGGAGCTTCAATAACCACCCCGGATCAGTGTTTGCGGTTCAGTCCTGCTGTTGGAGGTTCTTGGAGGTTCAGGGTTTATGGCGTTGGTTTAGGGTTTAGGGTTTAGGGTTGAGGGTTGAGGGTTGAGGGTTGAGGTTTTTTGGGCTTCGGGTGTTGGGTTCCAGGGTTCTTGGTTTAGGGTTTTGTGGGCCTTTACGGCCTGTAGGACTTGAGGGCCTTTCGTGCGCTTGAAGAGACTTTAGGGCTGCTAAGGCCCTAAACCCTAAACCCTAAACCCTAAACCCTAAACCCTAAACCCTAAACCCTAAACCCTAAACCCTAAACCCTAAAACCCTAAGCTGTTATGGGCTTGCGGCATATGTGGCTACCCAGGGTGAAAGGAACCGAAAAAAAAACACCTAGCTTCTCTGGCAGGCACTCAACCCTGCGCTCCCCGCGACCACGAGCGCTGAGACCGGCACAACTGATTGGCATCGGCCTTGGTGGCAAAAAGGCACCAAACGGTTCCGAAGGCAAATTAGGGTTTAGGGTTTAGGGTTTAAGGTTTAGGGTTTAGGGTTTAGGGTCCTCTGAAATCAGCATGCAAGAGGTCCTGCAACATCACCACGCGTCACCACACGCAGCGCACCATGCTGGGCAAACCAGCAACGCTGCACATACACATAACGGTATGTACACGGCGTTTGCTGCACCAGGGGCGGCATCCGCACTTCTCGCACATCTCCTTGCCACAAGGTTGTCATGCACCCATGTGCTGTTGTTACACTGCTCCAAGAGAATCGCTCGCTTTTCTTCCTCAACTCGCTCGTGTGCTCAAAGGGTATTGGATTAGCGCATTGATGGACATTGTTGTCCGATGTTCAACATAGTGACATAGAGGCCAGCCCCCACTGATATCTGAGACAGAAGGAGCCAGCAGCAACGAACCGGCAGCAATGGTGAGCTCAGGTCATCTGCCAGGTTAAGCTACCAGTACCACCGTTGCCGTTACCTGGACCGCCGTGGGAAGGCTGGCACCCAACAAAAACAAGCAGCTCTAAGCACTTTAGGCGAAAGTGCCGTGAATCTGCACGAACATGGCCTGAACATGTGGGGTGCAGCGTACGCTGACCGTACGCTTTGTGTAGACGATCTCAATATGGTCAACTGCTACCCATATTTTTCCACACGGTGGCAGTCCAGGTACAGCAGCTGGTGCTGGCCTACAAAAGTTCTGCCGGACGGGATGGGATGGGTACCTCGATCCACGTCCTTTTGAGCATGGTAAAGCATGCAAAACCCTTGCCACACAAGTTCAAATTTCAAATGCCCAAGAGCGTGCGCGCTAGCGATGATGTTCAGGAATTAGGGGCCCTAGAGGCTTCATGTGGTGTGCGCGGCTCAGTCGCCTCTGACTGGAACACTTCATCTTGCCGCACACATGCAAACAGCAACAGGACGGCTGCATAGAGCAGCAAGCACCCTCCAAAGATTTGGCACATCGTTTGGAAGCTCGCATACCGGCAAATCGACGCCCCTGCATAGGGCCCCACGATAAAGGCCACCTGGTCTGCTGCGCTGGGCAGAATGAGCACGATTCCTGTGCCGTGGTATTTATCCTGGCTCCGATCCGCCAACATGGCCGGTGTATTTCCATTCAGAATGCCGGCAGCGGCGCTGCAGCCAATCAGCGCAAGAGCAAGGAAGAGGTAGTCGGAGCCGAAGCACGCCAGCGCACTGCCACCAGCCACGACCAGTGCGGAAATCTGCAACGTCTGACCTGCTACCAGGGTTGGGCAAAGGGTTGTGTTTAAACGGCTTGAACTTTCGACGATTAGACGCACAAAGTTTTAACAAAACAGTGCCCTTGCGGTTCAGAAGGTTTGAACCGCTTAGACTGTGAACGCGGTTTAACCATCAAACGGTTTGAACTGTCGAATGCTTAACCGCGCACATGTTTAAGCATATGCTTGAACATAAACAAAGAGGTGGCTGCAAAGAGTACGGGTTTTGGGGTTTTGGGGCTTTGGGAGCTTTGGGTTCTAGGGAACCTCGCTCCCAACCCTGTGAGAACTCACGCCCAACCTGGGGAACTGACGCTGGGAAGGTCTAAACTTAGTTGTCCAGTAACCTGGGGGAATTGAAGGTTAGCCTTTGGGGTTATAAGGGGATTATACTACCCCAAAAAGGTTAAAGGTTACCTTAACTAGGTAAAGCTCAAACTCTGAAGCCTCTCCCTCAAACCCTCTCGCACACTTGGCAACAGCTTCTTAACCATGTTTAAACGCCCTGGGGCCCTACCAAATGTTGAAACGTTGAGGCTTGCGAACTGTTGAAACTGTTTAAATGCTCCGAAGCCAAACCTCTGTTCAAACATGTTCAAACAGTTTAAGCGCCTAACATCTTTAAACGTTTAATCTTTCAAACGTGTTTGGCCCGTCCCTGCCTGCTACCAGAGATCGAAGCATGGGCACAAGGCTCACACAGACGATCGCCGGAATCGAAGACATCAGCCATGTCAGGTTCTGCTTCACATGATCATATCCCAGGGTCGTCATGTACTCGAAGGCAGTGGCAGTCAATGCGCTCATCAAGGTCAAGCTTAGAAAAAGGGCGACAGTTGGGAGTCCGATTTTGGGGTCCAGGAAGAGCGAGAGCAGGTCCACTGTAGCCTCTGCTTCCTTAGTTGCTGAGTTCATAGGCCCCCGCAAAAGTGTACACTTTCTGTTCTATAAGGGATTATAGTATCCCCAAAAGTGTAAAGTGTACTCAGCTACTAAGGCTTCAGTCTGTTTGTGCGTTGGCTTCTGGAGCTGCGACAGGTCTGGCAGTCGTAAGCGAAGCGCCAAGCACATACACATCTGCACGCCAGCGAGGAGGAGAAAAATGAAACGTGAGTCATCGACAAATAAGCCACCAAGCAAGGGGCCAGCAATCAGCCCAGCGTACAGACCCGACATTGCCATCGACATGGCCCTCATTCGGGCGGTCGCATTGTTTGCGTGCACTTGGTTGAGAAGCGCAAAGCCTCCCCAGAGAACTCCTGCAGTGGAGCATCCGCTCAAACAGCGCATTGCCAGCCACAAGCCGTAGTCCTGCTCCAGGGCAAAGCCCAGACTGCACAGCACGGCGCACAGCATCCCAAGCTGCATGGACTTCGCTTCGTGTCCATCGATGAACCTGCCACCGAAGGGCACCAGCAGGCAAGCCACGACATTCCTGGAATTTTGAAGCACCGCAATTAGCTGGTAGTTCGAAGTTACCATCGGACACATAGGATAAAGGGCCGAGATCAAGAAGTGGTCCAAGAAGGCCGCCATGCTCACCAGCATGTCAATGCCGGCGAACTTCAGCGCCAACAAAAAACACAAGAGTAAGATGCCTCCCACCTTAGTTGCTGAGTTCATAGGCCCCAAAAAAGTGTACACTTTCGGTTCTATGGCTGGGGAATTATAATACCCAAAAAAGTGGAAAGTGCACTCACTCAGCTACTAAGCCACAAGGCGAAATACTTTTTGGGTCTGAGGCGACTGCGTCGTCAGTATGGGGAATGCAGGGTTATACATGTCCACCAAAACCCCGCTTGGTGCACTTTCATTGAGTCTGCTTGCGCGTGTCTGCAGGAGCCCTACTGCATGTCTGCCGTCAGCCACTTCGCCACTGTCGCACTCCGAGATGTCCGCACGCATTGAAGCGCCACGCGTCAGGCTTGCAACACTGGCGTCGCTCATCCGGCATGGAGCAGCAGCTGTGGAGACAGCGACAAACAAACACCCCAGCATCAGCCCATGACGAAACGCCATGGCGAGGAGTCGATCTCAAATAATCAAGACATATATTTGCCCATCGCGACGCTTTTGCCACGACATGTGGGCCCTGGAGCCATGGGTCGGAGCGCGACATGCCGAATGCACACACCCTCTGCAGACCATGCGACACCTTCCCTCGACATCGCATCCAACTAACTTGTTGGCGCCCAGCATGCAAACCACCCGCCTGAAGTGAGGGGAGCTGCACCCGACCGTCCCATGGAAAACTGGAAGACCTGCAGACGTCGCTGAGGACATCATGCCAGGTCGCTGCGACACAAGCTTGCTGATATATAGGGTTTAGGGTTTAGGGTACTTTATTCGTCTCTCTCTCTCTCACGCGCTAAGGGGTAAACACGCGTGCCCAGGACCCGAGCGAAGCGGAACTCGACACCTCAACCTGACACAGCTGTGTGTGGTCATGGATGGCACACAGCGTTGCTGCATCAATTGCAACAGCCCTCGGGGCAGTAAGTGGCATGGATGTTGGGCTTGTTGCCAGCTTTTTTTTGGCCAGTTTAAAGGACTACAAAGGCTCAACTCAACTGCTGAGAATAGCGCATCAAATGGTGCGGGCTTATAACAGGACACTGTTTGAAGCCTGCCGGCGTTTTGTTATGTTGGCTCTTGGGTCCCTGCATATTTTGGTCGTCGGATTTACGGCTCAGGGTACAGGATTTCTGGGTTTAGGGTCTGGGCTTAGGGTGACCAAATGCTTCAGTGAAGTGCGCCAACTTTGCTTTCAGAAAGCAGCGACGCTCTTCCTGAAGTTGGGAGTAGAGGTGCAAAAGTAGAGGTGTCGTGTCGCTTCCCACCTCCTTAACAAACCCTAAACCCCCTAAACCCCCTAATCCCTAAACCCCCAAAGCCCTAAACCCTCAACCTGTCTGGACTTATAACCCTACATGTAAGTACCCATGAGCCTTCAAGCAACCAAACCATGGCAGACTGCTTATGCAGAATAAACCCCAAACCCCAAACCCCAAACCCTAAACCCTAAGCCCTAAACCCTAAACCCTAAACCCTAAACCCTAAACCCTAAACCCTAAACATGGCAGTTTAAGGGAGCTGGAACAGGCGCAGGTGCGCATGGCTAAGTCCCCACTGTCCCGAGCCAGCAAAAGCATCCGGCGCCCAAGAGAGGCTGGGGTTTAGGGTTTAGGGTTTAGGGTTTAGGGTTTAGGGTTTAGGGTTTAGGGTTTAGGGTTTAGGGTTTAGGGTTTAGGGTTTAGGGTTTAGGGTTTAGGGTTTAGGGGTTTTTTTTCCCACCCGACTAGCCAGCAGCAATGTGGGGTCTTCGTTACGGCAATGGAGAAAACTTCCCAGGCCACACGCCAAGGGAGCGCCCAGGGGCTTCAAGGTAGGATGTGCTCGGACATGTGTGGAAGTAGAGTTTAGGGTTTAGGGTTTAGGGTGTAGGGTTTGAGGCTCAAAGTTTACGGTTGGCAATCTGCAACTTGACTCAAGGTGCGCAAGCTTCTAGAGCTTCTCTATGCCATGCGTTTTTTTTTTTGCTTTTTGCCAACAATCAATTCTTGACTCAATGGCTCACTCTTGCGGATCGCAAGCGGTCTGCGAATTCGTCGACTGAACTTGACACCACCAACCTACGTCTGCAAGCACAGCTTAGCTGTGCCGCAGCACGGTTGTCTACGCCGTGCGGAAGGGGGCCTGAATAAGAAGACATGTGGGGTTCCCAGGTCTCCTGGAGGCTTTCAGCCTCCAGAGGTGTAGAGAGGAACCTGAACGATTTTTTTTTTACACAGCTGAGGCCCTTAGAAAAAAAACACGGATTCTGCGTTATGCACCCCATGAGACACCTGAAGCTCGCCGGTAGATTCGGCGATAGTCCAGAGGGTACAAAGCCTTCATGAACTCCATCCTTATCAGGAAAAGGGCTGCAGGTTTAGGGGTGCAGGGGTTTAGGGTTTAGGGTTTAGGGTGTAGGGTTTAGGGTTTAGGGTTTAGGGTTTAGGGTTTAGGGTTTGGAAGTCGAGAGCTTGGATTCAGGGAGGTGCAATTTAACACATCAAGTCAATGGCGGGGAAGGGAGGGGAGAGGCGCAAGTGCACAAAACCCAAAACCCAAAACCCAAAGCCCAAAGCCCAAAACCCAAAACCCAAAACCCAAAACCCAAAACCCAAAACCCAAAACCCAAGACCCAAGACCCAAAACCCAAAACCCTAACAAACGTGGGAAATCTATAGGTGCCAGCGAGGACAAGCGGCTCCGTGATACCCCCGTCCCCATCTTCGTCGAATGCCAGGAAGAGCTCCGTTGCTTCAGAATGTTTCATACCTTCAACGACTCTGCATCCGTCTTCAGTCTTCAAAAGAAGCAAAAGAAAGGCTCACCCCAAAACCCAAAACCCAAAACCCTAAACCCTAATCCACTCCTATTTACCAACAACTCCTCCCTAAAAAGAAGCTGCGACCCCGAACCCTACACCCCAGAAGTCTTAAGCCCCACATCCTGCACGCTACACCCAAAAGCCCCGAGCTTCAACCCTACATCCTACACCCTACACCCTACACCCGAAAATCTAAACCCTAAACCCTAAACCCTAAAACCTAAACCCTAAACCCTACACCCTAAACCCTAAACCCTACACCCTTGCTTTCGGCGAGGAGGTGCCAATCCGCATCTTCGCCACAAGATCACAGAACTCATCCATTTCCAGCTCGCCGTTGCCATCTTTGTCGAACTTGGAGAACCTGGGTTTAGGGTTTAGGGTTTAGGGTTTAGGGTTTGGGGTTTGGGGTTTGGGGTTTGGGGTTTGGGGTTTGGGGTTTGGGGTTTGGGGTTTAGGGTTTAGAGTTTGGGCTTGGGGGTTGGGGGTTGGGGTTTGGGGTGTAAGGTTTAGGGTTAGGGTTTGGGGTTTGATGAGGGTTTGGGTTTAGGGACCTAGGCTTGTTCGGGAATGCTGCTGAGGAACTTAAGCTACCTCAATTGACGCGGAAACCCGATTGAAAGTAAGGGAACCAGATTATTTGTTATACTTATCTCTGTACATATATGTATATATATATATACACATGTTACTCTCTATGGTCACCTGTTTTCAGGGTCCTTCACACGCTCCGGAGAGCAGTTGGAAGTATGAACAAACATCCAAGAAACAACTTGGGCATGTGCTCGGCAGTGTAACCCAGATTCTTGAGCTTACGGCGAGCCTGTGTGATCAAGACGATTCTGTGTCGATCGGCCCAAGTTTGCGACATTGCATTGCCCAGCACGGAAAGCGGCATAGCCATGAACAAAACCTCAGATTCATCATGCTTGGAAGTAAAGGGGTACTTGCTAGTAGGGTTATTAAAGTCCTCGGATAAGATTACAACCATCCTTACGCTTCTTACCACCCAGCTGATACGTACCCGTGAACCTCCAAGTAGGACACCCTAAACCCTAAACCCTAAACCCTAAACCTGAAACCCCATAACCTCCAAGTGGAGCTCCAAACCCCCCAAGTGTGCAGCTTCATGCAGCCTTTATCCGACCAGGGGTTCCCAATAGTGTTTTGGTGGCTTCTCATGTGGGGCTTCGGATTTTTGTTGGGAGAAGAAGGATATCCCTAAACCCTAAACCCTACATCCAAAAACCCTAACTACAACCCTAACTAAACCCCTAAAACCCTAAACCCAGAAACCCTAAACCCTTCAGATAGGACACGCTGGTCAGGCAAAGCGCGCCGGCCATGATCTTCCCAACCTGTGTTCTTGCTTAGGAAATCACATGAACTGACCATATTGAAGGGACAAAAAGGGGGGACCCTTCGCATATATGACACCTTAGTGCTTCTTTGGGGGCTATTTTGGGGCTGCTGAAGTATAAATGTACATGAATGGACCTTGTCACGGAAGCTCCAAGAAACCCTCAGCCCTAAACCCTCAACTAGACCCACAAGTAACCTAGGAATCCCACAAGTAACCTAGGAATAAACAGGGCGCCCTTTTTGGGTCAAAGGGGTTTACAAGGGACCCTGACCGAAAAGAAGGACATAAGGCTACGCTGGGTCTAGTCAACTCAACTCCCTGGCAATTCAGAGCCAGCCTGAACCCTAAACCCTAAACCCTAAACCCTAAACCCTAAACCCTAAACCCTAAACCCTAAACCCTAAACCCTAAACCCTAAACCCTAAACCCTAAACCTTCAACTCCCTGCCAATTCAGCGCCAAGCAGCTGGCGTAACCGGATTCATGTCACATGTGCCCACCGTCGTCACTGTCACGGTGCAGAGATAGATGGAGGTACTCAAAGAGTCCATCGCTTCTGGCCTTGGTCCAGCAACAATGTTTAGGGTTTAGGGTTTGGGGTTTGGGGTTTAGGGCCAAAGTTTAGGGTTTAGGGTTCAGGTTCAGGGTTTAGGGCTTCGGGTTTCGGGTTTCGGGTTTGGGGTTTAGGGTGGGTTGAAAGTGGCCGGGAAAAATACCCTTTCTTTGGGTGTTTCGAGAATGGCCCCATTGGGGGAAGTACCCATGTCATGATAAGGGTACCCGCTTGGGGGGTTAGCGACTGTTATAAGGAAGCCCCCAGAAACCCACAAAAGGGGGCAACCGAGGGTCTCCAGGACGTAGAAGGCACATCCAAACATCAGCACAATCAGGCACACCAAGAACAGCAGCAGCTTCAGAGCATCGAAGGTCGTGGACAGGACGTGCAGCAACAGCTGCACTTTCGGGAACTTGCGGATGAGCTTGAGCTGCCTCACCACGGGGACCAAGCCTTAGATGAATGTTTCGGGTCCGGATGTCCCCCCTTCTACTAGCAGCCCTTAGGGTTTCTACTTGAGTATACATACATACATACATACCTTTTCTAGTACCCCCCCCCAATGAGAATCCCTATTGAGAAGCTGTTCGTATAAGGGGGAACATTCCAAGTTTCGGGCTTAGGGCACTGGAAGCATACAAGAAGCATTCTGCAAGCCCGTGGAGGAAGGGTTTCAAAGTAACATGTCCCAGCAGGGTGCGTGAGTGATACAGGGGCCTTAATCATTAGGGTTTAGGGTTTAGGGTTTAGAGATTTTTTTTGTGGGGTATCACAGTAGAGTTAGAAAAAAGGGGGCCATATGGGCCATAAGGGAATGCCGACCCCTATATGATGCCCCTTGAAGCTTCCTACTTGTCCGGTCAATCTTGGCTAGGGCGCGCCCATCCATATGCTAGCAGTCCTTAATCTACTAATTGCTTAAGAACCCCCCCCCCCCCCTCCCCCAGAAAATAACCTTTATTCTTCCTTACTATTTTTAAATTTCTTTTGGGGTTCTTAAGCAAATAGTAGTAGTGCGATTATACTAGGGTTGCTGACAATCCCTATTAAGGACTGCTAGTGAAAGGGGGAACATCCCAAACAACAACCACCAACAACCAACAATAAACAACCAACAGCCAAGAAGCAAGAAGCAAGAAGCAACAAGCAACTAGAAGCAAGCAGCAACCAACAACCAACAACATTCAACCAACAACGTTCCGCCAACAACCAACCAACAACCAACATTCAGCCAACAACTAACCTTCAACCAACAGCCAAAATTCAACCACCAACCGACATTCAACCAACAACCAACAAGCAACAACAAACACCAAACAACAAGCATCAAAAGCACAAATAACAAACAACGAACAACAAACAACAAACAACAACCAACAACCAACAAACAACGAACGACAAACAATAATAAACAATCAACAGGCAGCACAGAACAAACAGCAAACACTGACAACAAACACCAACAACAACAAACATCAACACCAACACGTACAACAGCACGAAAAACGACAGGAACAACGACACGAACAACAACACGAAAACACCTGCCTCTTCAGACTTCATCACCTTTTCAAGACTGAACGAAAACAACCGCAAATCAGAATCCTGAACGGTCCTCATTTAGGGTTCAGGGCTGCGGGTTTCGTAGCAAGGGCGTGGGTTGGGAGGATACCTTAAACCCTAAACCCTAAACCCTAAATTCTCGCCGGGAAGCAGTAGAGCAGGTAGTGTATCACGGCGTTCTCATCCCTGGTGGGGGTTGCGATGCCGACCTGGAGTCGAAGCGCCATGGGAAGGATCGCCACAAAGTCAATGATGTTATACCTCGGGGTTGCAGCTCACAAGCAACTGTCGTGGTCCAAAAATGAGAGAGAGAGAGAGAGAGAGAGAGAGAGAGAGAAGGAGAGAGTGAGAGTGAGCGAGAAGGGGAGGGAGGGAGGGAGAGAGAGAGAGAGAGAGAGCTGCCACGACACATTGCTTCAACTGACGAGGTGCGGATTCTTCAGGAACGCTCTCCTTTCGGCGCACCTGGTCGCGAAAAAATGGGCCAACAACTCGACGAGCAGCAGCCCTTCAATGGACACTTGGATCACCTGTACTGAGCTTGGAATACCCTATCAAAAAATTGCATAATTTCAGCCGTTTCTTAAGGAATTACAGCACCCTTTTAAAAAATATAGTTTTAGCTATTTCTTGGGAATTACAGTGCAATCCCCCCCCCCCCCCCCCCCCCCCCCCCCCAAAAA